TCACATTAGAGAAGGCGATGGTAAGCCGAAAGCGCAGGGATTGCCATGACAACAGCAGCGGTGTGCCCTTTTCATCAAGAGGTTCAGAAAGTCGTAAAAACTCCACCGCCAACACTCTGTGAAGAATATTCATTTCGTGAAACTGCTCCACAGTCAAAGGGGAAAAGAAAAAAAAAAAAAAAAAAAAAAAGAGGTGTTCACGTGCAAAAAAAAAAAATAATAATAACAATAATTTCCTTTCTCTCTGGCAATCAACAACACCAACAGGCAACTCACTTTTTTAAATTTTTAAATGTCTATGTCAACTGTGTCAGCGTTCTACTGAAAAGGAAAAAAAAAAAAAAAAAAAATAAATGAATATATATATATACTATTGGCGCTGCAAGCGGTGTCACAAGGGGTCCAAATCCGTCTCAGAACGTTTCCACGTTGTTTTCTTCGTCTTCTTGTTGTAATAGTAGACTTTACCCGTTGAGGGGTCCTTCCGTTCGGCCCACTCCGTCGCGTTTTTCTCCTTTTTCTGCTGCAAGCCCGTCAAATCCGCGCTAAACGGCCCACCATTCTCTTTGAGCGTGTCCTCCAGCTTCCACGTCGTGGCTTTGGTTTTCCTGTGGACATAGTATGTGCGACCGCTGCTGGGATCCGTCACCGCACGCCACTCGGCACCGCACGTTGGGATGTCCTTCACGCTCGCTTCCTGTGACACATCCTTGAATGTATCCTCAATCTTCCATGTGGTCTTTTTTGTCGCGATATGAACATAGTAGCTCTTACCACTTGCGGGGTCACGCACAGATTTCCACCCAGTTCCACATGTAGGTGCTTTTACCTCGACCTCCTTCGCTGCGCCCTCTTCCTGTTTCCTGCTTGCATCGTCGCCTTGCACCTCCACCTGCGCCAATGAGGGCTGCACATTGAAGGTCTCAAATGCCAAATTGGTATTACCAGATTTTTTGTCATCAATACCGCCACCGCCGCCTTCTTTCTTCACCTCCTCATCTATTCCCAGTGAGGAGGACGAAAGCAACGGCGTCTTGGGAGCTCTGCCGAAGATACGCTTGTCGGCCAACGGCTTCGGTGCCATATTGTGCACGGAAGACAAGATACGAGACTCTATTTCAAGTGCTCGTTGTAGTTCATCCCGCAAACGGCTCTGTTGTTCCGACTGTGCTTCAGTGGGTTCCAGAGTAGGCTTCTCCAGCTGCGATGGAACCGGTAACTCGTGCACCGACGTCTCTGCTGCTTCTTTTACAAGATTTGGAGTTACTGGAGTTGTTTGTTGCATAGATTGCTGCTGTTGCTGGGGAATAACAACTCGGGGAGGCTGCGGCGCTTCGTCAGATGATCCATCCATGGTGATTGGGTGCTGTGTCATTGCGGCCACCAAATGTAGGGAATTTTCTGTATAATCTTGACGGGCTGCTGAGGACGATTGATCAGGCGCACAGTCGCCCTGTTGAAGTTGCCGGAGATAATCCTGATGTTGGCGAAGAAACCGACGAGATGCATCCATTAGACTCATTTCACCGGATCCCTGCGCACTATTCATGTTATCGTAGGTCTCTAAAGCCCTGCGCAACTCATTTAAAAGTACTTCCTGTTCCACACGTGAAGGAAGGCTATGGGAAAACGAATACGCGTTCCGTTGGTGCCACGGCTCTGATTGGGTGATCATCGTACCGTTATGCTCTCCTACACGCGGGCCGGCTTCTGCCAGTTGCCGCTCTGGAGTTCCGGCAATCACACTCCATACACCCCGATTTAATTTCTGCTGCTGGCCAAACGGGTTATTACTAAAGCGGATATCCCCATGATTTTGCCCATTCCTCGGCGGGGAGCTGTGAATACTTGAAATGTACTCCTCTCGGCGTCGATCACGCTCCGCCAAAAGACTGTCAATGATTGATGCCGCCCTAATCGCCTCTCTTGAACTCCTCGGCATAAAAACTGCATCATGCGAGGGTTGTATTGCCTCCGGCACATTTCCTCCCCCTCCTTCTGAAAATTTCCCCTCATTGTGGTTTGCCCTGACGTTTGGGGAACCCCCGATCCCCCTCAGGAGCCTGTTTCTATCTTCTAGCGGACCGCCGCGGGAATATGCGCGGATGAGATGATTCATTGCATCTCGAAAGCGCTGTTGCGCTTCACGTGTGCGGAATGTGACAAAAAACCCCTTCCGCGGCGGAAGTCCATCCTTTATGTTTGCAAATAGGGATGAGTATTCGTTCAGCGACAGCAGCTGCAGGCCTCTCTGCCGTCTCGAGTCGCCAAAGGCTGCCACAGGAACCTCCACGAACACCTCGTCCTTTGGCTCATGGAAGGGGACAAAGACGAGTAGTGGACCCCGTTCGCTGCGTCTTGCAGCCTCACGACGCCATGAAACACACGCGAGGGCCAAACACAACTCGGACGGCGCCTGAACGGAAGAAAGAAAGGCAATTTCTTCATCACCATCATATCGATTCATAATATTGCCTCCATTTCTATGGTCCCCGTTGGAGCGACGCAAATGCCGTTGCATGATGTCGATAAGAGGCACACACTCGGTGTAGAGTGAGTCAAGCAGTGGAGAGGAAACAGCAATGTCCATCGTCTCACCTCCTTCTCACGTCTTTTTTTTTTTTTTGTGTGTGTGTGTGTGTGTTTTGGATTCCCTCATCCACAGTGTGCGCATCGCAAGAAACAACAACAACAAACCCAATAATAATAATAATAATAATAATAGAGACGCACATGCATGGGCGTATTTCCCACTAGCAGGAAGTTACCACACCAAAAACAATGATGATGATGATCATCCTCTCGGCTTACAGCGCAGAGAAAAATAATAATAATTCAAAAAAACAAAAAACAAAAAACAAATTTCTTTTCAATATTAAACACACATATATACACACACATCTATATATATATATATATATATAGGTGTACATGTATATCTATCTATCTATCTGTGTATGTATTTATGTGTGGGAGTGTGTGAATTTCCGACCCAATAAACACATATCATCAGAAAAAATAAATAAAATAAACAAATAAACAGATGCAATCTAAAACAGTGAAATGAGGACAAAAAAAAAAAGCAACAACAACCAATTCCAATGACTCTTCTTTTTCAGCACAAGTTGATGCCAACACTCCCACCAGTATTACCGCAAGGAGTGAGCTCAAGAAGCACCCGCTTCGCTTCAGCCAAAATTTCCTCCGCTTCAGCGTGCCGTGCGGCAAACATAAGCTCGTCGCTCTCGACATTTTCACACAGTCGCTTGGCATCTTCAATCCGAATCATCGCCTCGCGCCCATCGCCGTAAAGGTCACCTACAAACGGCACAAACTTACACCTGGCTACATCCATAACGTCGCTCATATTAACACCATCATCATCCGTATCATCTCCGTCTATATTCGTGCCTTTCTCATATTCATCATCATCATCGTCATCATTGGACTCCTCATCGCGTCTAAGGCGTTTCCGCGTCGCTGATTGTATTGGTGCAATTGAAGTAGCAGCCGTTGTTGTGCTCGCCGACAGGGCCACAGGTCCATAATTCTCCTTCTCTTTCCCCTGCTGCTGACGCCCTAGTACGTGATCGGCTTCAAACTCCTCAACTGTAATCTTCCCACGGAATGTTACCCGAGGAGAGCACCCAACCCGCGGCAGGTCCCGTCGGGCAATGTAATACTTCCCGCCGCGCAGCGTATCTAGCGGAGAATCCAGCGCCACAGCCCTTGGCTGAACGCAACCGGTGGAGTCACACTCTAACACACTAGTGATGCAGTACTCCTCCGCCAGCTCCTGTAGGGTGATGTCGCCATGGAGTTGAATTGGTGCAAACGCCGGTGTGTGTGCATCCTCGTCACAGAGGAAAAGCGCTACACCAGAAGATGGCTTTGTACTTGCGTCCATGGCCTTTTCTGCCATGTCAGCTCCTATTTCCACAGAATTCAAATATATATATCTGTCTATCTATCTAACCATCTATAAAAACACAATATGGAATAGCAAGAGATGGAGTGTACAGCGGCGTGGTGCATGTGTGTCTTTTAAAGGGTGGCACAAAAATAAAAATAAATAAATAAATAACAAAACAAAACAAAAGAAAACATTATTGTAATAATGTATGGAATTAAAAGTATCGTGAATACGTCACCCGCATTTCGGGGCTGCGGGGTGGCTCTGTGGTGAAAGAAAGGGATGACGTTCTTGCAGTGCCCTGCTCACCCAAAGGTGGTGCCGGTTCCCACGGCACAGAGACCTCGTCATCGTTGTGTTCACCGACCCACTCAAAACTCTGTTCCACAGGTGGCAACGCCACAAAGAGAGCGGTCTGCTCTGTATACGCAACGGGGTTGACACCCGGAAGAAAAGACTGCGGGATACGTATGTCTCCATACTTTTCAAATAAATTTACAGCAATTCGCTTTGGGGGCATATTCGTGCGTACCCCACCGACACATGCACACACACACCCACACTGAGGGAGAGGAAGGGATACTGCTCTAATATAAAGGGATCGACCACGTATGTATGTGAGTATATATATATATGTGCGTGTAGCTGTGGCCTGCGTTCGACCCAATAAACACAAGAAAGGAAATAAAATAAATACTAAAATAATAGAGAAAAAAAAAGAAAAAAAAAGAAAAAAAGAGAAAATATGAGTACTCAATCTCTTCGCAAGCCAAAAATAAAATTGGAGATTCCAACAGATTGCTCTTACCCTTCATTATTATTATTATTATTATTATTGCCACTACTAACATGTGTCAGACGCCAATAACAACGTGTGGCAGTCATAAATAGTCACTGGAGCTGCACTTTTGCGTTCCGCCCGCCAACACACAAACACACGCACGCACAAAGATACAGAAATAGGAATTGCAATAAAAAAACCATGCTACATCCAAAAAGACGATATTTTTGAGGGTCAATGGAGAAAAGAAGAGGGCTATTGACAAATACCTCTCCTCCTTACACTCCCACCTTGCTCCACCCTTGATCACGCATGAACCTCTTCTGATGCTGCTGGTGTCTCCGTGGGGGCTGTTTCTTTCCTGCCAGTGTTGTTGCCGTTGTTGTTATCAACGAGGGAGAGACTTGAGGCCAATTCAGCGCTCTTCCGTGCAGACTCCATCAGTTTGTCGCACACGTACTGCGTCGTAAATGCCATTCGTGCCCACTGTTCTGACTTCTCCGGTACCACCACCGATGGCTCCTCCGGATCAATGCGCATAAGCGCAAGCCCAACGTCTCGCCAAAGTTGAACCATCTGAAACGTATAATCCTCGTCACAGCGGCGTTTCTCAACATTCCTGTGAAAAGAGAGGGTCCCTTCTGACCCTTCAAATGAGTTTTTCTCAATGCTGAACGTTGGAGCATCCTCATCGGTAGGTTTGATCGCACCGTAAACGGTAATGATACCATCATCTCCCTTAATGCGCACCAGCTGCTCGTAAGCTGCATGGTATGTGCAGAAAAAAGTGGCCAACACAGGCTCACCTTCCACTGTAAAGAGAAGTTCACCAGAAAAGGCGGAAATGCCATTTTTTGGACCGCTGCATTGCGCCACGCGACCCATCACCGCGTCTGGCAAAACAAAGTCCACCATGTGAAGAAAGTAACGCACGCAGTACCAGCCAACGTCCCCCAACGCCCCCATCGGCTCCTGCGCAGGATTTAGGCGAATGTCGCTCTGCAGAAATTCTTCGGATGCCAAAAAGGCAAAGTGTGCCTCCATACGACGCAGCTTCCCAATCTCGCGAATGGCAAGACGAACATCTTGGACGCGACGTCCATGCGACAACATTGTGCCGTCCACAAAAAGTAGCCTCTTTGCGGCAAAATGTCGTAACCATTCCTGCAGGACTAAAGAAGACACGGCGGTGGGCTTTTCGCACACCACATGCTTCCGGTGTTTCGCACATTCCAACACCCATTTGTGTCGCGCCGTGACGGGGATGGGGATATACACGACATCCACGTTCGACGACGCCACGACGGTTTCGTAGTCCCCTACCAGAGGTTTTTTTGCAAAGGGAATAAAGGCGTTAAGCTCATCCACAAACTTCTCCCCACGTAACTTGTCGCGACATCCCACAATTGTAATTTCGTGCTTCGCCTCGTGGATGGCTATCCATGTCTCTCGAAGCACCTTTGCGGCGCCAAGAACGCCTACGCGTATTCGCGTTTTTGGAGAAGGTGCCATTATTATTATTATTATTGTGAACACTGCTCTCCCTCTCTCTTTATCCCCTCCACACCCTTCCTTTTTTTTTTTTTTGTGTGTGTGTGTGTGTCCCCTTCGTGTATTCCACGGGAAAAGCAACAAGCAACGAAGCGAGCCAATATGAATATTACAGAGGTTATGGAATCGTGTAAACGATGACATTTGCATAACATTAATAAAGGTTGATATATATATATATATATTATTTACAGGGTAAATATATTTCAAAACGTGGCCAAGGAATAAGCCGTCTTGCATTTCTTTCCAAATTCCCTCCTAAAAATCAAACTGAAATCATTTTATCATCATTGAAAAAACAATCAAATATATATATTCTTAAGATCGATCTTTCTTTTTTTTTCTTTTTTTCTAAAAATGCTTCGTACGTGTACATTGAACCTAAACAGCAAACCGAGCTGCGTATGGGGTGTAACGGCCATTAGAAAATATGTAAACTACTACTAACATAAGGAGAGAAGAAGCCCGTGGAAAGCTTGGATGCAATGCAATTATACAAGTGGCGCGACTTCCACCACCCGGAACGCACAACTGCTGCGGCCATCGACGTGTAGGCACCGTGCGCGTGCTGTCAGGAGATGGTGAGAGCATGTCCTCTTGTTTGAGTTCCACACCGCCAATAATAAAATCGTAATCGGAGTTGTTCAATATACTTAACTCCGTACCGCGCGTGGGAGTTTTCCCATCCAAGTATATATCCAAAGGACACGCGCGACCCATCAAAGGAATATTGTAAAAATTAGTGTAGGGAATTTCTTCTAATGTAGCCGGACGACGCACAAAAGGAGGAACAGGGGCTTCTGATGGAGCCACCTGCTGTTGAGGCTGCCCAACTTGCAGAGAAGCATAATTCTGAGGATGTTGTTGTGCACTCTGTCCCTGTGCTTGCAGTGAAGCACAGTTCTGAGGACTTTGTTGTGCACTCTGTCCCTGTGCCTGCTGAGAAGCATAATTCTGAGGACTTTGTTGTGCACTCTGTCCCTGTGCCTGCAGTGAAGTATAGTTCTGAGGACTTTGTTGTGCACTCTGTCCCTGTGCCTGCAGTGAAGTATAATTCTGAGGATGTTGTTGTGCACTCTGTCCCTGTGCTTGCAGTGAAGCATAGTTCTGAGGACTTTGTTGTGCACTCTGTCCCTGTGCCTGCTGAGAAGCATAATTCTGAAGACTTTGTTGTGCACTCTGTCCCTGTGCCTGCTGAGAAGCATAATTCTGAAGACTTTGTTGTGCACTCTGTCCCTGTGCTTGCTGAACCGGTGAGTATGGCTCTGATGCGGTTTGTTGTGGCTGGGATTTGAGTGGCGATGCAGCAAGTGCTGGCAGGTCGCCTTCTCCAGAACGCTGAGGGATCGGCCATTGCTCGCCTGACACCGTGGCTGCCGGTGTCGCCGAAATATCAGCTGATGCAGATGTGCCCCCGTTTTGTGGTCCACCTGTTTGCACAATTTGTTTCGTTGATCCTGTAGCTGAAGGTGATGATGGGGCCGACTGCTTGTTTTCGAAGCCTGGAACCTTCTCCGTGTTCATCACATTGCTTGCCGCTGCTGATTCCAAGGTCAGGGGCTCCGGCGCTGATTGCTGTTCTCGCTGTTCTTGTTGCTGCTGCTGCTCTGACGGTGGTTGTGGAGGTTGTGCCCATACAGGGACCACCGTTGCCGCCACGGGTGGGTGGTATGTCTCCACAGGGTCCTGAGACGGCTGCACGGAAAGTAGTTCAGCGCCAGTCGTTTTCAATGCTGCCTGTTCCGACGGTTGTGCGGTGGGTGACTGAGGTGGCGGTGGGCCGCCGAAAAGGTCATCTAACAAATCTACATGTCTGCCACTGTTAGCAGCAGGCAACTGCGGCGTTTTCCTTGGAGGGCTATCTTTTCCGAATAGTGCCGCATCCAGACTTTGTTCAGCCACCATGCGGCGTTTATTGTCACGGATAAATGGTAGCTCCTTCGGTGCCTCTTCTGCAAATCCTGCCTCGATACCGGCGGGATATGGCTCAAATTGCAGCCGGTTTAGTGCTAGCACGGTGTGCTTAAGCTGCTCCACCACAGACTCCTTATCGTAAAGCATTCCGGCAAGCTGCTCCCACTGGTCTACGTATTTCTCGGTTCCGCTGTCTTGCTTTTTTTCTAGACCTCCCTCCTCCGTGTTTTTCTTCAGATCTATCAGCACGGCTTCCAGGTTCTCAATTTCGTCCAGGAGCGGAATGACGTCATTCGAGACATCGCGATGAATTTGAAGTGCCTCCAACTTACGCATCTTGGCCTGTGCCGCGGCCAACTGGTCCTCCACCTCGGCAATAAGGGCTTTGGTTTGAATTGTAGGGGCCGTACGAACGGCGGGGAGAATGGGGGCAATGCCGGCCTCGTGGGCAGACTTTGCGTCAATTTCATCTGAAATGTTCTGCCAGTGCTTTAACTCGTCGCGGAGGGCGGTGAGGGCGGCTGAGCCGGAGATCACTTTGTCCTTCGCCGCGTACTGGGTGTCATACTCCAGCTGCGCAATCTCCCGCTCCAGCGTTCGGACCTTTTCCTGCAGGTCTCTTTCCTCTGGAAAGAGCAGGGCGGTGCGGGCGGCGATCTCCTGCGCCAGATCATTGTCCATCTCCACCACCTCCGTTTCGCTGGGGAAGATGCCAGCCTTTGTGAGGGCCTCCACCGCGCGGACCGGAAGCCGTCCCGATGGCTTAGACGATTGTGTCTCACCACCTTTTCCACTCGCCGCTGCCGAATCGTTCGCACCTCCTGCTGAAGCCGTCTTCAGTGGCGGCGGTGGGGCGGAGGCGGGGTGCATGCGAAATACGACCTCCAGACGCCCCGGTTTGCCATCAATCCTAAACGAGATACTCTTCTTCTCGCACATGGATTCCCCCGCAAGGATGCTGCACATACCTGCCAGCGGTATCTCAAATCCCGTTAGTTTTGAGGTATGTCTGCGGTTGGTGATGTCGTACACGGAAAAGTCAATCATGCGACGGTCTTTTGGGGAATCAAAGGAAACTTGAAAGCTACGCGCAGAGTTTATTTCCTCAGCCTTACTGAATTCCACCTCGCCGACCGTGGAGCATACGGAAGGATTAGACGTGATTTCCACTCCCTTTCGCGAAATAAGCATGACATAGATACACCCTTGCCGACAAAAGGGGGCGAACAATCGTACTGGGTGAATGGTGACGGTGTACAACGTCATGGCTGCCGTCTACCTCCCCTCCCCTTCCCTCCACTCTCTCTTTTCGTATATATATATATATATATATGCGTGGGCTCCCTTCTGATCCCTTTACACAACTCAAGGGATTTTGCTTCTCAGCCCACCGTCCTTTCTTCCTCACCCTGGCTCCCTACCTAATTATTCCACTTTTATTATTTTGTTTTTCTTTCCGAGGAACTCTCGCCACAGCTAATTAAAGTTTTTCTCGTCACAATAGTAATTTCAACCTTCACTTTATCGCTGGCTGCGGACAGGTGCCAAAATAAATAAATAAATTCAAGCCATTAAAAAAAAAAAAAAAAAAAAAGAGGACTGACATTAATACAAACACACGTACATGAAATCCTCTTTTCATGGAGGCGTGAATAGGCTTCTTAAAGGGAAAAAAAGAAGGTACTTTAAAATTTAAAATATTATGTTGTTACGTATCCAGCCACCGCGGTTTAGGCAGCAATAACAACAGCGGATGATTCAGTTCCCCCGAACCCTTTTCTCACCCCCACTATTCGTTTATCTTTAGTTAGCAAAGCCACAGCCATAATCACAAGGCATTTCCACCCACGCGTGACTGTAATGCCTCCAAGCGACGCCGCACCGCCTCCTTCTTTTTCTCCAGTTCTGAAATGACATTACACGTAGAGAAATCCCCTTTTCCTTCTTCCACCTCACCCTTTTTGTCGACATAATCACCGTTATCGCTGTTCCCACTGTTGCTGTCTGAGACGTTCATCGCGGACGCAGGACGCTTCACAACGGCTTTATTTGTCTCATGGGACGAGGAAGACGGTGCCGAGGGAAGGGACGGTGGGGTGATGTATCCTGGAAGAAGATCCGGTACAAATGTCGCCGATGTTAACAACGGCTTAGAGGCAACACGCCAGCGCAGGCGGACACGCATCGTCCGTGGGTTCCGTGACAGGGGAGGGCTGGTATGCTGACCGCAGACAAAGGTGTCACCCACCACAGAACCAACGTTCTTGATCATTGCGACGTCGCCCAGTACTTCTGTGGGCGCTGTGACGAGAGTGAATCCACGCCCCTGTCGCACTTCAACCTCCTCTGAGAGACGAGGTCTTTTCTCTTGCACGGTCACCGCGGGGGTGAGAGGCGCGTCATTAGTGTGACTTTCATTGCTGCAGGCACTCTTCTCATTTCTGTTATTGCGATCCGAGGCTTCAGCCTTTTTGGACGCAGCGATCAGCGCTGCCGCCGCCGCCGATGAAGCCTTGCGTGCTGGACGCGTGTCAAAGAAAGAGGACACAAACAGACTTGATGTGCTGACTGCTGGCGCTGCGGCACCATTCTCACTCTTTTTCAAACCTTCTGCTGTTGTAATTTCGGACAACATTGCGGACTTGGCCTGTTGCACTTCCATCGCAAATGCTTCTGCATCCCAATCAGCAACAAAAACCATTTCGCTCCCATGAATAGGTGCCCCGTGCACCTCCTGTGCAAGCATATGAGGTCTGGCAGCCAATGCATAGGCGCGGAATCGCGTTCTCTCCTCCTCCGTGAACATTGCTTTCTTCTCCTCACACCACGCCGAAATGGCAGAAAAGTTCATTTGTTCCACAGGGGCCAACACCATATGTTCAATCTCTCCATATGCGTTGCGAACAGCCGATGGAAGGAGTGCGGTACTCCGTGCGGGAAGCAGCACGAGAAGCTGCACAAGTACATCTCCAGGGCCATCATCCCACAGTTTGTCCGTAGTTTCCACCGCGTTCGAATCTGACGTGGCGCCACGGTGCCTCGAATGACTGCGTTTTTTTGCCAACTCCATCAGGGCATCGTACGACAACATGCCGCAGTACTTTCGCAGCAAGTGAAGAGGCGGGGCAGTACCATACGGGTAGTAGCAGCCCCAGTGCTCCACTACCCCTGCACTGTTCTGCAAAGACCATTGCAGCATCGTCCAGTACGCATAGCACTTTGGTGCCAACTCCGCCTCCTCCTTCAGCTGCCTCTGCTTCCGAAAGGTGTCATCGACAAAACCCCAATCGGTGGCGCCTTCCTTGCCATTGTCGACACACAGACCATCGCCACAAGCGCGCTCGCGACGCATCTCTGCCAGAGAGTCTAGTGCGTAACGGGCGGAGTCAAATTGAATAGTGTTGGTGACGGGATCAATAATGGAACGATCACGCGAGATGAAATCGGTGGCGAGTAGCTCCAAAAGGTCGTCCAAGAAACCTTCTTCAATGCGGCAGCCCACCGACGGGAGAAAGTCGTTCCCAAACAGGAGAAGAACAAATACCACATCATGAAGCGCCCGTTCAAACTGCCGGTTCCTCCGCTCAGCCTCCTCTGCGGAGTCCTTGCGGCTCGTCTGCAGCCTGAGTTTGTTTCGCAACTCCTCACGAAAGGCGTGAATGCTAAAAAACGTCGAGGCCCACGCGTCACCCACTTGATTCCGCCAACTACCGCTGTCACCACCACGACTAGCGCCGCCGCTGTGATGACTTGGGGAACACTCGTACCGGAGGACGTGTATGCGTGGCTCGTGAAGGATCAAGGAGCACACCGTCACATCCGTGTCAGAGCTGCAGATAACGTGAGACGTGTTTGGATCGTAAGTTGACTGTGAGCGGAAACGTCGAATGGCGTCCGCTATTTTACTTTCCCCTTCACCCGGTCGCCAGACGTCATCTACAATAAACGTGATTGGGGTAACGGGGACATCTCCCCCTGTTGTGTTGCCTCGCGCGACCTGTTGCAGCTCATCCCGCAAGCGCTCTCCGTTAATGCGCTCCGCACGGCTGGCGCAGTAGAAATGCAGCGCTTCTGTCAGTCGCGACATAAAAGGCGTGCCGACGCTGATGCTATTGCTGTCCCACTCAACGGCGTTTCTCCCACGCGATCCACCGCCGCTACGACGTCGCCGCCGGGAGCGCTGCTGGGCGAGCTTGCCCATTGGGGATATGCCGTCCACAGCCAAGTACACCAAAAAGCGTGGGCGTACAAGACGCAACACGATGTCGTCAAGAATATCAAACAGTTTTCGCAAAATGGCGGCGTCAATGTCCACCGCGGATGCCTCACTGGCAGTTGCAAGGGCGGCAGCTTGGTACACCAAGCCATTGACATCAATATACAGGCAATCTGCGGCTGGGCAGCTGCTGCTTGACAAAAAACACGGGGCAAAGCGTCGCTTTAGCCACGTTAGCAGCAACGGCACTCCCATTCGTCAAAAGTTCCTACAATGCTCAGTGTTCAAACAACAAAATTTCTTCTCCTTCGGATGTAGAAATGCCACGTAACCCCCACAATTACCAAAATAAAAAAGTGATAGACGGACAAACCAAAAAACAAACAAACAAACAAACAAGAACAACAACAACAACAACAGACATTGCGACCCTAATGAGAGCTTCCATCTCTGCTGGGTACGCAGTCCATATTGTTGTTGTATGCATTAGAGATATGCATACAACAACAATAACAGTAGCAAAAGGAGAATAAGAGAGTAGCCGTTATTATTCAGAGAAACAACAGACACACCTCCCCCCAAAAAAAGCAAAAAAAAAGCACACACTTCCGCCACTTCTTCTGTACATGAAACCAAATTTCTCACCATGATTCCCTCTACATAGCTGTTTGTGCCTGTTTTTTCTTTTTCTTTTTATGGCTGCAAAACACCATACATGTCCTCCAGTGTAAAATAACCATCGTCATCCACGTCACACTCCATCAGTGCTGCCTCAAGCTCAATTGTATTCATCTCTGAGAGTTGTTGAATGTCACGATCATCCGCTAAAACCTCCTCATCTATCAAACGTTGTACGACCGTCTGTATGTCCCTCACCGTGATGGCTCCATCCCCATCCGTATCCAAGAGATGGAATAGATCACGCATTTCACATTCTTTCATCTCCGCACTCTCTTCCCTCTCTAACCGTATGTGAGAGAGAATAAAGAGAAATTGAGAGAACGTTACACCCTCCATCGAAGAATCCTTGACTAGAGGTGCTGAAAGCTTCGTTTCTTTACCACTACTCAAATCCACTTTCGAGTTGCCCCTTCGACGACTTGACCCGGCTTTGGATGACAACGGGGACCTCCTCGTCTGACCCTGCCCAGCCGAAGAACTTCCTGCCGCTACAGCCTGCGACTCTGCCGCCGCCGCTTCCATCGCGCGCAGCCGCAGGACATAATCGATAGGCTCATCATTAAGGTCGTGCACCATGTCCGACACCTCCAGCGCCGACATGCGTATTCCCAAGTCGTTGAAGAACTGCTGCAGCCCCTCGATTCCTAATGTCTCCTCCATCACCTCTTTTGATTCCTTTTCGGACTCGTTGTTTTGTGCTCCCTCCCTCTTATCCTCCTCTTCTTTCTTCTGCTGGTGCTGCTGCTGCTGCTGCTGCTGCTGTCCCTTCACTTCACCGCAAAGCGTACTCTTCATGCTTACCGTGTCTGGTTCCCACGCTGTTACTCCATCGTCCTCACCTCCGCCTTTCTTCTCCTTCTCCTTCGCAACAGCAGAGTCCTTTTCTTCTGGAACTTCCAAGTTACCCGACAAGCAGCGTTCCGTAACCTCCGGCAGAGCCATCATAGGCAGTTTTGTGGCCGTCAACGTTAATCTGCCGTAAGGCATCGTGGAACTATTCATGCGTCCTCGCCGTTGCTCTTCCATCGCAGTGTAACGCCCAAAAACCTCATACGCCTCCTTCGCAACCGCTGGGGAGATAAAGTAGCGTTGCGCAAGCCGTAACACCTCGTCCTCGGTCAGGGGCCGCCTTGGCTTCGAAAAAGTGTCTGCATTTCTGGGCTGCAGCTGCGGCTGCTGATTCCGTTCATCCGGAACTAAATCTTGGAAGCCGAGTGACTCACGCTGCATCTCACTACCTCCCCTCTCACAGCCTGAATGAATTATGCCCCTCTCGTTTTGTTATCGGTGCGGCTCCAAAGAAGTGTCTTCGGATAATTCCTCTTCTCCCAGTGGCCGGTGTGACCTCCACAGACAAAAAGGGGGTTGGTGGGGGGAAAACGGCACAAAAGAGAGGGGGAAAGTAAAAAAAAACAACAAAAAGACAGCGGAGTAAAGACGGGGAATTCCAAAATGCAATGAAAGACACCACACAGACGGAGACACCAGTCGGCGTAAAGAGAAAAATAAAATAAAAACAACAACAACAACAACAAAAAAAAAGAAACGTACGTACAGAAAGAACGATAGAAAACCACCACTACCAAAACAACATTTGTGCGCATTAGGAAGGCGTAGGCTCCAGCATGACTCCTCTCTCCCTCTCCCTCTCCCTCCCCTCCCCTCCTCCTTTTCTCACAAATGGTGTGGCAACGTCAGTGACAAGGCTGAAATCCCGAAATCGTGTTCCGTCATTCGGCCCTGCCTTCTCCCATCAGATATTTCCGCTACAAATAAGATTCTAAGGAAAAAAAAAAACACCCACCCACCAAACAAACAAAGACACACACACGCAAAAAAAAAAAAAAAAAAAAAAACTACGCTCAACCTTTCAAACGACAACAAACAAACAAGCGACCATATGAGTCTTACAATCTCCCTTTAAAATAATAAAACAAAACAAAGGCAACACACACACACACACACACACACACACACACACACACACACACACACACACACACACACACACACACACACACACACACACACACACACACACACACACACACACACACACACACACACACACACACACACAGACCTCATCCTCCTCTTTCCGTGCATGAAAACAAACAAACAAACAAAAAAAGAGCAGCGATGAAAGCATAGAAACCCAACGACAGCGAAAACAATGGCCAGGTTTACGAAGGGGGGGTCTCTGTGTATATAGAGGCATAAATAAATATAAAATAAGAGAGGAAGGAGGGGTCATCACAAACCCGTTTCTGCGCCTGCTCACAACCCACCACACACAGACACACACACACAAAAATCCCCATAAAATTAATTCGACGTCTCGCTTTCTCATTCATAATTTCATTTCTTCTTCTTTTTTTTTTTTCATCTGTTTTTTCACCTTTTTTCACTTTTTTTTTCTTTTTTGCGGACGCCCATGCGTTTGTGTCTTTGTAGTTGAACGCATCCAACGTTGGAATTCACACTCACAGAAGCCAAAACAACAACAACAAAAAACAGGCACGCACACACACAGAGAGACGGAGAAACTCCTCATATTTCGTTTGTGCCGTCCATCTTCAATGCCTGTAGGTAGGCACATGTACACACACACACACACACACACACAAATCCACGTGGACGGGTGGGACCACTGGAAGGGGGAGAGAAACAAAGCACACATGCATACACCCAGACTCAAAATGTACATGTAGACATCCACACACCCACACAGGTACACCCACACTGAGTGGCGGTGTCGCAACTCCACTCTCCTCTCCCCTCAAGAAGAAAACAAAACAAAGACAACAAAAAAGAATAATAATAATAATAATAATAATAATAAAAACAACAACGCAGCATCAAAAAGGGAAGATTTTGGAGGGGAGGGAAGGAGGGGCGAGACAAAAAGAGAAGGACCACAGTCCAACGGGAGGTGTCAGTGCCCACAGGAAAAAAGAAAAAAAAAAAAAGAAGAGGGGAGCCACGCAAGGTGATTATCATTCATCTTGCATTTGGAGATATTCCTCCTCCGTCTACATCAAATAGAGACTCCATTCCTTCCCTCGATAAGTTTCGCCACAATTGTTTGATCCGCGAGGGTGCTGATGTCGCCAAGGCCGTCAAAAATACCGGCGGCAATTTTGCGCAAGATGCGACGCAGAATCTTACCAGACCGCGTCTTCGGAAGTCCACACTGCGCCGGGTGGATGTGATCGGGTGTTGCCAGCGGCCCAATCACTTTACGGACAGTAGCCCTGACGGCATTGAGGAGATCCTTGTCGATTATGGTGTTCTGGTGAAATGTGACATAGACATAAATGCCCTCCCCCTTCGTATCATGCGGGATGCCAACAACGGCGCTTTCCACAACAAGGGGGTGCGTGTTTACGGCGTCCTCCACCTCGCTGGTGCCGATGCGGTGGCCACTGACGTTCAACACGTCGTCCACGCGGCCGGTAATCCAGTAATAGCCGTCCTCGTCGCGGCGTGCACCGTCTCCTGTCATGTAATACCCGTCTACGGAGAAGTACATCTGCTCGTAGCGCTCAGAATCCCCAAAGATAGTGCGGGCCTGCCCCGGCCACGGGCTCTTGATCACAAGGAGCCCTTCACCGGGACCGTCAATTTCCGCATTTGTAATTGGGTCCAACAGGGCAGGCTCGATACCAAAGAACGGCAGCGTTGCACTTCCAGGCTTCAGCGGCGTGCAGCCCGGCAGCGGTGTAATGAGGTGCCCGCCCGTCTCTGTTTGCCACCACGTGTCGCTGATGTCCACGTGGCCTTCGCCGACTACCCCATAATACCACCTCCAAGCCTCCACGTTGATTGGCTCCCCGACGCTACCAAGAACGCGGAGTGTCGCTCGACTCGTCCTCTTTACGGGTTCATCGTCATATTGCATGAGCGATCGAATAGCTGTTGGTGCGGTGTAAAAAACCGTGACACCATACTTATCCACAAGCTCCCACCAACGGGAGGGTGTGGGATATGTTGGTGTGCCCTCAAAAAGCACGGACGTGGCGGCGTTTAGCATGGGACCATACACCACATACGAATGGCCTGTGACCCAACCAATGTCCGCGGTGCAGAAGTACACGTCTTCCTCGTGGTAGTCAAAGCTGTACTTGAAAGTGGTTCCCGCAAACACCATGTATCCTCCAACGGTGTGAAGAATTGCTTTTGGCTTACCGGTGCTGCCGGAGGTGTACAACATAAAGAGTGGGTCTTCTGCGCCCACCCACTCTATGGGACAATCCGCCAGCTGGCTGGCTGTCATGGCGGCAACCACATCGCCATACCACCGATCACGGCCTGACTTCATTGGAATATTCTCCCGACCGTGTCGCTCATACACGAGGCATTGGATATGATGACCTTCGCTCTCACATTCCGCAATGGCCACATCCACAACCTCCTTAAGAGGAATGGGCTTCTCTCCACGAAAAGAAGAGTCAGCCGTAATGACAAGTTCGCTGGCGGAGTCAATGATGCGAGAGGCAAGCGCTTTTCCAGAGAAGCCGGCAAATACAACGGAGACCACGGCTCCGATGCGGGCTACTGCCAGCATGAGCTGCACAGTGAATGGGATCATTGGGAGGTACAGAGTGACCACCTGGCCCTTCCGGACGCCATACTGGTGCCGTAACACGGCTGCCAGCTGCAGAACAGCCTCATGCATATTGCCGTACGTCACCGAGCTGGTTTCCCCCTCTGCGTTTCCTTCCCAGTAGTAACACACGCGGTCTTTGTGCTGTGTAAGGTGGCGGTCAAGAGCATTGTAGCAAATGTTAGTCCTTGCTCCATCAAACCACTTCACAAAGACTTTTCCTTTACTCTTGTGGAAATTGAACTCCATCGCCGGCTTTTCTGAGGGCCATAAATTTTTCCAGTAAAAGTTATCTGCTGCAATCTTGCTCCAGAAAAGAACGGGATCCTTCTTGGATTCGGCGTACAGGGCCTGGCGATCGGAAATGGATTTTCCTACATACGATCTAGCACTATTTGCCTTATAAGGCTGAACAACGTCTTTATCGTGCCGATGACGGGCCTCCTCTACTGTGAGGTTTTCCATGTCACTTTATTGTTTTTATTCTTTATTTTTTATTTTTGTATATAAATAAATAAATAAATAAATAAATAAATATATATATATATATTTTGTTGTTGTTCCTATTCTTCCTTGTGCTGGTTGAATTGTTGTTTATGCGCGACAGTGCTGTTTGCGTCTGTGTCTGAGTGTGTGTACTGGTGTGGCAAAGGGGCAAAAAAAGAAAAAAAAAAAAAAGACAAATAAGAGCAAAAGGATGATCGATAAACTGGAACACAAAAGAAAGGCGCATTATTTCTTCCCCCCCTCCCCCCTCCCCAAGCTGCATTCTAAGCCACACAAACACGCACGCACACACACACATACAAATAAACGCTTTGCTCGTATCAGCAGTATGTCTACATCCACTTATGCTTTTGTCTTTGTTCTTTTATTTACTAAAAAAATAAGAAAATCATACCGTGGACGTGTCGGCATCGGGGCATCACAGGCAATAGTATTTCCAATGAGTCGTGGCACGAGCACCACAACGACAGCTACTGCGGTGATCACCAACATGGCGTGCCACATGATGAGCCGGTTGATTCCACTGCCGCTCCCTATGGCCTCCACGCGCAGGTTGTAGGAGAACTTCCGCCATTTGTCAGGTTGAACTGGAAAGGCATTACGTGTACCGCGAATCTCCAACACAACCAAGTCGTCATTCTTGACCCCATACTCGGTGTCACCGTTGTCGACATCGCCATCCCCGTCAATATAGTCAAAGAGAAGCTCATCCACGTGTGTCTTAAAGTGCAACATGATAACATCCGCAAGCTTCCGCAGGCCCGGGGCGAGTTCCTTCGCAGGCCATATTTTTCCTTTAATGGCAGATCTGTGCACACGCCCCACGTGTATCCGGTATTCAATGGACGGTGAGCCCAAGTGCGAGAGATGAACGAGATACCGCGTGCCCTGTTCCACCCCGGTTAACACGTACCGTCGTCGCACCTCGGTGGCCATACTTGCGGGAAATGCCATGGTGTCATTAAATCGCACCTCCCCCACTCTCAACACGTCGTATTCCCCATCATATATGTAATGAGCAGAGGCCTCCGCGCAGCCGGGAAGGACGGCAGTAAGAATTACAGCGATAATGAGCCACATGATGGAGACCAATCTCCCTCCCCGTCCCTCCCGCTCGATGAAGGCCCACGTCAATCAACTTTTCCCCCTTTCATTGCATGCATTTTAAAATACAGACAAGAGGAAGAGAGAGAGAGAAAAAGAGAGAAACAAAAAGTAGACAAAAATAAAGCACACACACGTAAAAAAAAAAAAAAAAGTGCTATCAGAGCTGATGATTCCACGACAAACCAAACAAGTAGGGCGGAGTGAAGGGCAAACAATACAACCATCCCATTTTACCACGACAAAAACAAAAATAAGAAAAAAGGGATAAACTTTCATCAATCGCATCGTAATCATCGTCGCTGCCGTGGTCTGCGAAGAAAGCCTGGCCAGTCATCCAGTCCAAAGTCTCGTGTTTCGCCCTCGGCGATGTTGCAGTTTCTTGGCCGTGGCGTCTCTCTCTTTGCAAGGCACACCATAAACGCCTCGTCACTCCCACGGCGGCTCGAAAAAGGCTTGCAGAGAGTCGAACGCACAAACCACCGCTGCAGTTCCCCGCGTAATTCCTCAAACGCCGTTGGAGTACCAAGTACCTTGCAAACAAAATTCCCACCTGTTCTCAGCTGACTAGTGGCAAAAGCCAGCGCCTCCATATTCAACTGCATTTGCTTCTGTCGATCGTCAGTGCCGCCAGATCCGCGATTGAGACACATATCTGACATCACCACATCCACCAGCCCATTGGCGTGAACATTTTCCATCCGCGAAAGAAGTTGCTGCTGAATCGCCATGTCTGTGAAGTCGCCCTGGATGCACACCGCACCCGTTACTGCGGGGGAAACGTGCAGCAGATCCACACCGAAAAGTGCACAGCGGTCTCCACAGCGTTCACGTGCCACCTGCAGCCAGCCACCGGGGCTGCAGCCTATGTCCACCACAACGCGTGTGTGATTTCGGGCAAACAGCCCAAATTTGTCGTCCATTTCTAGAAGTTTAAAGGCACTACGGGCGACGTACCCGCGTCGGCGAGCCTCCAACACAAACGGATCGCGGGCCTGCTTCTCCATCCACTGCCGCCCGCCCTGGCGCAAATACTTCCAATTCCCATGAAGCATAAAGCAATTATCGTTTTTTTTTTATTGTGTGTGTGTCTGTTTCCTCCCACTTTGTGTGCTTGCAGGCGACACGCACACCGAAGGGATGCACTGGAAAGTAAAGTGATTATGTGATTTCTCCCTCCGCGATGCCTACGCGCGTGAGTGAGTGAACGGCGGCCCTCCTCCAAGCAACCACCTGGCACACAGAAATACACACGTATCCAATTGCACACCCAAAGAACAAGGGGAAAGAAAAAATAAAAAAATAAAAATAAAAGAGTTTTACTTGCGCAATGGAGGCGGGATTCCACGTCACTCGCGTACGTCATCGTGTGAGTTGGGCAGTTCCATTCCAAGGTGGCCTCTCGCCTACTCCGCAAGGAGCGTCATGAAGAACAGTCACTCTCCAAAGCCACACCAAAGAGGGGAAAAAAAATAAAATAATAATAACCAGACGGTACGCATATTTACAAGAAAATATGGATCACAACAACAACAACAAAATAATCATGTCACCATCGTTGTTTCACAGCACGTGTTGCATCCCCCAGATGACCCTCAGCTCCGTCGGTGATCCTCCGTACGTCATGGTGAGTTCTTCCCCATTCTCGATATCCCGCAAGGAGCGCAGGCAAATCACAGGTTCGTGGGCAGTGGGGGTTTTCTCCGGGACCATCAGCGCCACATTCTCATGATCGCTGTGATTACACATATCAATCACAGGACAGAGAAACACAATGGGCTCCTTCACAAGATTCTTATCGTCATCCGGCCCAGTGATGTCAAAGGCATCCACAAAAGGTGTCCCACTAAAAGCGTGCCGCAACGTCCAACGATGGTCAATTGGGGCCATGCGACTAAATATCATCGACAATGACCACAGAAGCAGCGGTCTCACTTCGGCTTGCGTCACTTTAAAGAACGATGCCAGAGCCGATTGACAAACCTGACATACCTCCACACTGTCTAAAGCGCCACTCAAGTTGCTCATCAGTTGCTCAAAATCGCCCTCATTGCGGGGCATAAAATTCACGTATTTAAGTGCCTGAGATCCCTCATTCACATCGTTACGGAGGATAAGATACGACATGTAGGTGGCAAGAAGGAATTGGTTATGCTGAATAATAGAGCGATCTGCCAGACGGCTGTTTTCAATGAAAGGCCGCCGTAGAAAATACATCTCCCTCTCCCGCAGCGGGAGCAAATCAAAAAATTGTTTGTCCCGCAGTGCCGTTCCAGGGTGAAGAGAGGCTCGTACGGAAAGCATCACGACGTTTTCATCCTTCTTTATTTCTTTGTTGGCAATAAGACCACGCAAGCCGCCACGCTTTGTTGTGCCTATGCGACAAAGACCCCGCGTGATCACCTGATGGGCTCGACAATACTCCACAAACTGCCTTGCCTGTTCTTGCGGGGTAAGAAGAAGACGCAGGAGGTGCCTGTTTTCATACACCGGCATTATTCTACGGTTCCGCCCTTCTTTTTTCTTTTTTTGTTTGTCTTTGAGGTATTTCTTTTTATGCCCCTCCTTTTAGACCCCGCTCTTGAAGAAATAAGTACCGACTAACACCCCTTTCCTCCCCTTCCCTGTTACACTGACATACACACACACAGAGAGAGAGAGATCTCACTTTTGGCATCAGGCACGCAATAAATACAGCAGTCAACACCCAGTCACCAGCAGCACCAACCAGAAATGATAGAGAGAGATGCGCAAGAACGGATGTAAAACCAACACATACACACACACACACCAAAAAAAAAAAAAAAAAAGTAACATGCTACGGCAGAGAACAGTCCACCAAGCATGTTTAAAGAAACAAAATAACAAACAAACAAACAAACAAAAAAAAGTGTTCCAATATGATGGTAGATGTGTCTTCTTCTATTAGCCAGGAACTTTGGCTTCTTGAGCTACCCTCGCCCTTTCTGCTAAGGCAGCCAACTGCGCCGGTGACACATTAAAACACTCGAGGTCAAGTTTTTCCCGCTCTTCATTGGGCATCTTTTCACGCTCCACCCCGGCGTCGTAATTTTCCTGCAGCCGAGCGATGCGTTCGGGGTTTGTAGTGAAACGAGGCTGTGACATGGGCATGGCTGAGCAGCTGCGTGTTTGTACGGCGCACTGGTGTAGATAGTTTACCTTTTTTTTTTTTAAATTCCTTGTGTTATTTCCCTGAAAAACAAAACAAAAAAATATGTCCGTGTTTGACGTTTTCACAAAGCCCACATGATAACAAAACAAAAGACACAGCGAGAAAGGAAAGTAAGAAAGAGAGAGAGAGAGAGAGACAACACATTTGGAGTGCAGAGAAGACAAGAAGGAAACACTGAGTTCAGTGAGGCTCACATACAAGCAGGGATGTGCGTAGACAGATAGAAAAGACCCTTGCCATATATAAATAAATATATATTTTCCTACCATCACCATTATTGTTAGTAGACGTACGGTATGACAGCCTTGCGTCGCAGTTTATCGTAGGCAGCACCAAACTGTTTCTTGTACCACTCGTGGTGCGCGTAACCGCGCGGGAGCAGGTTTGCCATAACGTAAACCGAAAAACTGAAAGCCGCCAGACCCGACTCCGGCTTTGTCGTGGCTGCTGTTGACCACACAACAAGGGAGTAGCCGCACCACTCCACAATTTCCCCAAAGAAGTTGGCGCAGCTCACGTATTCAAAAAGTCCTCCATGTGGAATTTTACGCGTGTGCCTTGGTGGCTGCTTCTTAAGGCGCACGAGACGGTTGTCGGACAAAACATTCACCCCCATCCCAGCGAAGAAGAGAACAATTCCAATCCAAAATAACGCCATATGACTTGTAAATAAGAGAGGGAAACGGGGCGCAGAAGGCCCGTCACGAATATTTGCCAACAGCTGAAGACGACCGTTGAGTAGGCAATATACTGCAGCACTCAACGTTATTTTAATTGGAACCGGAGCTCCTTCGCCTATGATCAAAGGGTACAGGAGAGTCCGGTGCAGGTAATGAATGACAAAAAGTAAGAGGCCCACATGGAGGGATGTGATTCCTTCTGAGATCGCATGAGCCGCCTGTCCAAACGGATCATCAAACACAAGACGTATCCACTGGCTGCTGCTACATCTCAGTGCATGACACGGGTACTCCATAAGAAGATAATAAACGACGTTCATCAGCGTCGGGCACTCCTGCAGCGCCCACGAAAGTGGTGCTGGCATAGTAACATGTGCGGTTGTACTTGTCACATGACGACCAAATGGAGCGACTTCAACAAAACGCAATGTAAAATAAGTCATGGCTGCCATCACAAGATGAAAATAACTTGCTGACTCAATGACTGTTGCACTGCCCAAGGGCAATACGTATTGCTGGAGCAGAACCATGCATATTGTTGTGATAAGAAGAAACACCACCGCGACCAAAAGCCACGTCCATGTGGACAAGAGATTGCCACCATGTCGCTCTAGCATGTGGATATGCGTCTTTCTGCACATGTATACAAAAAGGGGAGAAAAAAGAAGAGATCACAGGGCAAAAATCAAAGAATATTATGAAGGAAATTCAACCTTCCTCTAATTAACACAATATGACTGAAAAAAAAAACAAAAAAACAACCCAAAATAAACAAAAAGACATAAATGAAAATAACAACAACCGCGCAAATATAAATATATATATAAGAAACCACGCAACAACAACAATAACAACAACAGAAAAAAAAAAAAAAAAGAAAGAAAGACGCGTCCTACTCCGGTAAATAAATATATTTACTATTGAAGCCTGCCTTCCCAGTATATAAATATATACTCTGCAAACAGAATTCACATTGCTAACCACCGCCACCCCCTTTATCTCTCAACATCCCTAAGCGTAGAAGTAAATAACAAAAAACAAAAAACAACAACAACAACTATGCAACAAACTCCACTTTGCTCCATTCTTTAAAAGATTCCCAACCATTTTCTTGACAAATCTGAGCCGTGTTTTAAGTTGTACTCCTTCACTTTAGTGTTCTTCACTTCCGGCCCGTAGCTCTCCATCGAGTTCTGGTAAAGAAACCGAAGCTTCGCCGGTGACACATTCAAACACTCAAGGTCAAGTTTTTCCCGTTCCGCCACGGGGATCTTTTCACGCTCCACCCCGGCGTCGTAATTTTCCTGCAGCCGAGCGATGCGTTCGGGGTTTGTAGTGAAACGAGGTTGATACATGGGCATGGCTGAGCAGCTGCGTGTTTGTACGGCGCAATGGATCCGTGCAATGTGTCTACAGTAGATGTGTATGTTCTCTTTTTTTTTTTTTGTAATGGTTTGTCCAAATCGTCCCAAAACACACAGGAAGGAGGCCACATAAAATAAAAGGAAAAAGACACAGAGAAGGAGAGAGAGAGAGAGAGAGAGAGTTATTGTTGAAAAGACAACCGTGCGCCCGGTGACAAAACACGCATATGGCAGAATGGCAGGCACACAAACAGAAAAACAGAGAGAAATACAAATAAGGAGGAGGAGACGATCTATTTGAGCAGAAACAACACCCAAAAGCTCAGATGTATACTCCTCTCGTTGCCCTCTTGTACAAATACACACATTCCCTCTCTTTCTTTCTTTCTTTCTCTCTCTTTTTTTTTTTTTTTTCTGCTCTCTATGCAATAAGCTTACAGTCATTCACCATATTCAATTGAACATGCCTCAAAAGCAATGAGATGCACAGACACATAACCCCCGTCTCACCTTTCCTTTTCATTCCCCTCTCCTTTCATACACACACACACACACAAACAGTGTACATAAAGGATTGTTTTAAGGAGCCATTCCAAACGGCGGCAAAAAAAAAGAAAGAAAGAAAAAAAAAAAAAGGGTTCAGATGTTGTTGGGATGTTGTCATCAACCACAAACAACAAAAATTCCCTCCTTCATTCCTTCTTCCTCAGTTTTTATCAGTCCTTGTTTTATACATGCATTCACACCACAAGAGGCGTTTTTATTTTTTTTCTTTTTTGTCTCTTATTCCCCTGGTTGCTCATTATTTTGGATTTTAAAAAATACATTCCTTTTTCTTCCCTTTTCCTCTACTCCTCGTCACTCCCGCCGTCTTCATTCATTAAATCAGAAATGACAATTTTTTCATCCTCATCGACTTCTATCGTTGCGTCAGCGCACATGAACCGAGCGACAAGGAGGAGGAGAGCAGCCACAACAGCCACCCACAACGCCACCTCAATAGCCGTCTTGTACAGCGGCAACAGCGACGCAAAAGGCGTCTTCTCATCCTTCGCTGAGAACCAAAATGTTTTTTGCATCACTCGCCTCACAAACGGCAACTCGTGCAGTACGGCGGCAAAATAAGGCTGTGCCAGTTTGCCAATGACTAATGCTGGTGCATATGTCTCAAGTGGCAAGCGAGTGAGCATGGCAACAATAAGACCCGCCTCGATCACACCATTGGGTGTGGCGATACACAAAACAAGTAATCCCCAACCAACGTGTGTTGAGAAAAGTCTCCGCGTCTTATCCTTGCCACCACGCATGGCGTCTACAAAGGAGGTAAGCCGCGGCGGGCACACTAGCAGGCGCAGCAGCAACAACTCCACAAAAATACCACCCAATGCGTAGAAGAACTTTTCAACGGGATACGCCGTTACAGCCGTGAAAAAACGCGTTATTTGAGCATTTTTCCCGGACGCCACTTCCGATGACAACGACGCGTCAGTGGCGGCATCCAAAACGCCTGGCATGGAGCCGAGTCCATGTCCCACCAACGCGACGGCGGTCGCTCCCGCAAGAAACTGACGGACGTGAGGCCGCAACGTGGGAGGCACGGCGTGGAGGACCTTCTCGCTTGCGTATCTGCTCAGCATCAGCCCGCCCCTCGCAACATCCACAATGGACGCGGCAACCGTGTCAGACATCGTCGCACCCACGGCAGGACGGGTGATCATTGAGGCAACAACAAGAAGTGTGACACCAAGAAGCGCGCAGTAGCCGCAGCAGCGGGAAACCGTGTGAAGCATCATATGACCGTATGTAATGTGCGCTGTTCTTCCCAACCAAACTTTCCTTCCTCCTCCTACGCCACCGTCACCGCCGTCGCAAAGAAGGAAAAAAAAAAAGAAAAAAAGAAAAAGCAAGCCATAACAAGCAGTGATAAAAGATATATATATATAAGGAAAGGAAAGGAAAGAAAAGCAAAAAGGAAAAAAAAAGAAAAAAGTAGTTGGGAGATTACACGACGCACATCCCTACGCTTCCCACTCAAATTTAACCAACAATAATAATAAAGCACAAGAAGAGATGCAAAGAGAAATACACCGCGGAAAACAACAACAACAACAACAACAACAAAAAAAAAAAAAAAAAAAAAAAACGGAAAAAGAAGAAAAATTAGATTATATTATAAATAAATAATTACATGCATGTGGAGGGTATAGAGAGTCACGCATGCAACACGCCCACAAAGATATCACCAACATCGCACCGCCAACACTTTCCCCTCCACACGCCCCGTCGTGTAGACAAAAAAAAAAAAAAAGCAACACCCCCTGACAAAACGGGGTGAGAGGAGTAAAAGCGTGAAAAGGGTTAAGAAAGAAGACAGAAAAGGGGAAAAAAAAAAAAAAAAAAAAAAAAAAAAAAAAAAAAAGAAAAGAAAAGAAAAGGAAACAATCATATTAGAAATAAAGAAAAGTTCGCTCTTTTCTTTAATTTTCATCTTCCTTTTATGTCTCCTTCTTTTTCCTTCCTTCTGCCCGTCCGTCCCTCTCATTTACTTTTTTCTCCCAATCTCCATGTGTCCCTTCATGCGGTATCCGTAACAAAGCAGAGAATGAGATGTACTCATGAATTTCGTCTTTGCCGCCCCACTACACAGAGACAGAGAGACAGAGAGACAGAGAGGGAGAGAGACACCCTCCCTGGTGGTCACCGACAGCATCCGTACTATTGCTGGGGAAAAGGAAAACAAACAAACAAAAAAGAAAGGAAACACCTCCTCCCAATTCCTAGTTATCAACGAGCGCTAATAAAACCTCAAGCGCCACTATTTCAAAAAGGGAAAAGAAGAACAACAAAAAAACAAAAAACAAAACAAAACAATAACATCCAACAAAAATAGGCATAAGTAAACATATATATCTCTCGCTTTATATATATATATATATAAACTTTCCCTTCTTGCCTCTGCCTTTTCCTAATTTTCATTTTCAGATTCTGCCCTTGAGTCATTGATTATTGGTTCACATGTTCCCCTCTCTCTCTCTCTCTTCCTCACGTTGCCGCCTTCCACATCCCCCCCTTTTTTTTTTTTTTTTTCCTCTCTTCTTTGGCTTCACCCGTTCGGAGCTCCCATTCTTGAATAATACACGACGGTGGTGTATTTATTGCAGTACCGCGTCGTTAATCCCATGACGGAGTGGTCCTCGCGACGCTGAAAGTAGACGTGATTAATCGTCACATTTAACGGTAGCGGAAGATTTTCTGGCGACATGATTTCACCTGCTGACGAAATAACGCCGTCACGTGTGCAACGGACAGCGGTGGGCGGTGTGTTGAGTGGTGTGTAACGCAAATGCACTGGCGCGATAGGTGGATAATTTCTTGTCTCCACAAACATCTCGTGATTTTGTCCCCATCCCTCCCCGTCATCAATAATCTCCTCGTCCTCCTTGGTCATCAAGAGCACCTCATTGAGCTGCAGAATATTCGCTGGAGGATCATTCGACCCCTCTTTCGGAGGTTCGGCAATCGCTTGTGTGCTGTCGACAACCTCCTTGTCCTGAACGAGGAAACGATATCGGTGACTGCCCGGGGTAAGTTCAAGAATGGCGTAAAAGGAGTCTTCGCTAGGCGCCATCTGCACTGGACGCCACCCCAACGTCTCTACCGTTACGTAAACATTCTGCTTCTTCGTTAGCAGCTGCTTGGCATCCTTGTCGGCGTAACGCAGTACGACGGGGTACTTTTTCTGCTTCGCAAGAGCCTCTGCAGCAGCAGCAGCAGCGGCAGCGGCAGCGGTGGAACCAACAGCGTGCGTGCCATCGTGCCCCATCGTCGTGCCACCAGATGAGGTGAGTGTTACCTCCGTCATGGGATCGCGGTACTGTGCTGGCTGCTGCAGGATGTTTTCTCGCATGGTCGCATAACGCGATCCAATTTTCTGACCACCGGAAGTGTTTCTATGATTCGCGTCACCAACAACAGGGGCGGTGTCAACTCTGACTTCGCGCCTCAACAACTTTGAATCCCTGGCATTTTGTTGGCCCATTGTTCTTTTTTTTTTTCTTCTTCTGTTTTTTTGTTCCGCACCGTCCTCCTTTCCTCTCCTCCCTTCTCCCCCTTCAGACGGGAGGTGCTAGCGTCCCCCTCTCCCTCTCTCTCTTTACTTCTTTTTTTATTTTTTAATTTTTTAGGTGTGTTGTTGTTTTTTTGAATGATTTGACGCTTTCTTTCTTTCTTTTTTCTTTTTTCTTTCTTCGTTTATTTATTTAATTTTTATTTTTATTTTTATTTGTTTTTGCACCGAATTTTACTTCTTGTTGTGTCGTCACAACCCTCCAGCAAAAAAAAAAAACAAAAAACAAAAAACAAAAACACACGAAGAGAAGTGCACGTGGGAGGGGCGGCGGTCTCGTGGCGCTTGTCAACATCAGCCAGCCAGCCAGCCAGCCAGCCAGCCAGCCAGCCAGCCAGCCAGCCAGTCAGTCAGCAGCATTAGCAACTGACTATTAATATTATTACAATTATTATTTTGTGTGGGCACCACCAGTCGCTCCATGCGCCCACGCATCGGTCGCTGAGCTTCTTCACTGTACATTGTGCTGAGAGAGCACACACACACAAAAAAAAAAAAACAAAAAGAAAAGAAAAGAAAAGAAAAGAAAAGAAGAAGCCTAATTGAGGGAGTATAGGAGCAAGCCCAGAATGGGTGACGTGGTTCCAGTAAAAAAAGCCGCATTATTTACAGAGAGACGCTTCCTACGCACAGGCTCTCCTCCTAGGGACGGGCAAAAGACAATTGTCCACATGGCGTCCGTTTTTCACTCAATGGGATGTAATTTGCCATCCATCTTCTGTTGCCTCGCGAGGAGTGTGGCGCGCTCTCTTCCAATCTGCTCCTCCATTTGTTGCAAAACTGCCATGCGCTGCGCCGTGTAAGCCGCATCACGATACGCCGTTATGGGCACGCATGATTCCCGCATTAACGTCTGCAGGGACTCGTCCTGTACACGTCGCATAATGCGCCGTATCGAGGGGTAAGGCTCATTGTACACCAGCCGCCATCCCTCCATTTCCACCTCGTCCCCTTCCGTGGCGCCAGCAGAAACCGCAACGGCGGCGGCGGCCTCCGTACACGGCGTTGTTTCATCCGCCGCCTGGGAGGAGTGAGAAGCGCATTTGACGTCATCCGCACCTTCTGTCGTCTCTTTGATGTAATCATCTGGCATGCGCATTGCACGCTGGCGGAGGAGATGCTGCCGTGCGTACGATATGCGGAATCGCTCTAACAATCGCAAGCCCATTCCTTCCATGTCTCCTTCTTCTTCTTCTTGTTGTTGTTGTTGCGCTTCCTCTTCGTCACAACTCTCATTTCCTTTTCCTTTCGTGTCGTCACCCCCGTTATTGGTTTCCTCACACCCACACAACTCAATGGGATCACCGTCCTCCGTCTCGCCAAGGACCGCGGCAATTTGCCTGCGATACTTGACGAACAGTTCGCGCCGCACCTGATCCGCCTTCAGGAGACTCATCCACTTCTAAATTCTTCTCCGCACCGTGCCACATTGACAATAAAACACACACACAAAAAAAAAAAAAAAGGAAAGAAAAGAATGACAAAAATAAATAAATAAATAAATAAATAATGCAAGCATGTGTGGGGGGTGCCGTCAGTTTGGATCCAATGAACGGACTTTAATTATTTGATTCCTTTCATTTCCTTTTTTTTTTTTTTCTCTTCCCTCCTTTACCATACACGTCTCCCTTTCTATTTCCTTCTTTCTTTCGGGGTTTTTTTTTTTTTTTCCGCAGCAATTTTCTATACCATGTAAAAAACACATGGGAACGGTGGTTGGGCCCGAGAAGGAACACCTGCACAGATCTGTCTCTGTGTATCCCCAGAATGAATGAAAGGAAGGACGAAAGGAACGAAAGGCCACTGTCACCGTCAGAGCATTCACCCACTCACACATCTCATGACTTCTAGGAAAGGGGTAACTGTAGGAGTTAAATGTGCATGTCCATATGTATTTTGCAATGTCTTTTCTTTTCTTTTCTTTTCTTTTTTTTCCTTTCTTTTTGGTGTTTACTGTACTCACCGCATGCAACAGTGGTCTGAAAGCATTCATCAAACAGCAGCAGCTATTTTAGTGTGATATCATCATTCATCCTTACCCAACTCTCTTTCCTTCTGCTCCACAAGGGATGAATCCACGTGAAGGTCAAACTGAAGGCCAATCACTTCCGAGAGCTTCTCCACCTGTCGAGCACTAAGTAACGCAAGAGAACGCATGGACGGCAGCAATGCAAGTTGATCCTCGTGATGCTGCACCAATTCCAGTGTTCCAAGAGCTCCTTTTTGGAGCGCCTGTAGCGCATCATGCGCCTGGCAGAGTTGTCCCAGTAGAAAAAGCAGTACGCTGTCTAATCCGGTCAGTTCATTAGCAGAAACATCGGAGTCTTGGAGGAGCGACGTCGATGTCGCCTCCTGCACAAAAAGTGTCACGCAATGCTCTATGCTCTCACGAAGCGTGTCGAATGCATCGGCGGTGGAGCAAGCGGTGGCATCCGTCTTGCTCTCCAACAAATCTATGCGTTCTGTCAGCTGTGCTTTCCACACCTCATGTTCATTCATATTATTCTCAGGGTCATCATTCTTGTCGTCGTTTTTCGTGCCAATATGATTTTCTGCGAACTGCTGGGCAGCGACCGTCTTGGTAACTTCACGCTGCAGCACCATTTGATCCTCTTGCAAGTTTTGCAGAGTAGACAGCATGGAGTGTGTCTGCAGCTCCACTTCCACAGTAGCGCTCTGCAGTGCCTTCAGGCGCTCATCAAATTGCACCGTAAGCTGCTCCATTTCCCTCTTTTGGTCCTTACGGCTTTCTTCCTGCCACCGCTTACTCGTCTCCACCACCTTCTCCTGCTGCAACTCCAAAGACGCCAACCGCTCGGCGTGAAGGCGCTGCGATGACTCATAAGTCTCCATCTGCCGGGTGAACGCATTTCCGTGTGTGTCGCAACGGGCTTCCAACTCATGGAGTTGCTGCTCTGCTTGCTGAACCCTCTGTTTGACACGAGCTATGGAGTCATCCGTGTCCTTGCGTGAAGCAAAGGCACCCTGCAACGCCTCCGCCACCTCACTTAGAAGCTCTTTTTCGTCTAGGATGGCAGACACAAGACGCCTCGGCCCGAGTACCTCACGTAGGCGGTCCATCTGCAACTGCAGGCGTTGCATTTCTCTCTGTGACGCTTCCTCCACTTGTTGAGAGCGGTTTTCTGCCTCCTCACTAAGCATCAGACGCAACTTTTGCATCTGTGACGAGGTATCTTCACGCAGACGATGTAAGAGCTGTTTGAAGCGGTCCACCTCCTCCTGCATGCTCGCACGCATGTGGTGCTCCACATCCTCCCTTTCATTGAGAGCGTTTCTCTGAACATCATCCACGCGACGCCGCAAATTCTCCACTTCCCGCCCCAGTTTTTCATACGTCAAGACGGATACCAAAGGCTCGGACGGCGAAGATGGTGATGACAATCTCTTTGCATCCTGAGCCACCTGACGCGCCACCGTGTCCAATCTGCCCTCCAGTTCCACTACCCTTTCGGCCAGCCCCTCCGAAATTACGTCCAGCGCATTTTTGGAGGCAAAGCGTTCATCGTGTGTCTTTACAGATACATTAAGCCTATCGATGAGTGCTCTCAGTCCCGTAATTCCCGTGCTGCTCTCCTGCTGGGTGTCACGCACAGCCTGAAGAACGCGTTCTTCCACGCTCTGCATTCCGACAAAAAACTCACGCCGGAGGTCTGAGATCTGCCGAGCATCCGTCTTCGCCATGGAGGAGGCGTTGGCTTGAAGCTGCTCGTGAAGCGTTCGTAGCTCCGTTACCGCCTGAGAATTTTCTTCTAGTTTCACTACACACACATCCTGCACGGTTCGATGCACCGCGTCTACCCGTGCACTCAGCGGTGGCAATGTACTCGTGCACCTACTGCCTAGTTCGTCTAGCGTCACACGCGTGGCGGCGTGGTGTGCCTCAGCCGCAGCCAATTTCTCGTTAAGCTGACGTATCTGCACGGTGCTCTTTTCATGCTCATGTGAAAGCTTCTGCAGCTCCACGCCGATGCGGGCAAGCCCTTCACGCGTTTCATCCTCCGCCTTCTGCGCGCATGCGGCGGACTCCTTCGCAACTGCACGCGCCTCCTCGCTCGCTGTGAGGGCCTCGCGGAGACGTTGCCCCCACTTCTCCACGTCCCCCTTTGCGCTTGCCGCAAGTTGGTCGACATGAACGATCTGGTGCCGCATCTCCTCCGTGGCATCTTGGAGACCATCCAGTCGCTTCTCCAACTGCGCCACTCCCTTGCGATACTTCTCGGCAGCGGTATCATGCGCACGCACCGTTGCTGTGAGTCGATCACATATGGCGCTGCACTGCTGCTCAAGTCGCTCCTGCGAAGCCGTCACGGCTGCAAAAACGTCATCTTTGCTCGCTGTGCTCTTGCATGCCACGGCGATGCGTTCCGCCACGGTGGACTCTAACGCAAGTTTGGCAGCAGCCGTGCGCTCCTCACCCGCCTGTGCGTTCTTTGCGATGCCATCTCGCATCTCACGACGTGATGCCTCCAACTCCCGTTCTAACATTGTCACCTTCTGCACAATGCGACTTTCCATGTCGTTAAGGACCCTCTCGTGCTGTCGGCTTCCGTGCGAGATGGCATCGACCGCGGAGTCAAGCTCATCCACACGCCGCAGGACATCCTTTTCCATTTGGTGAAACAATCGCTCCGTGGCTTGCGCAACTTCTGCGGTAAAACCGCTGGACTCCATCACTTTCTGCAGCTCACCATTAAACATACTCTGCACGGCTGTAAGACGTAGTCGCAGAAGATCTTCCACTGAATCCCTGGCGGCTTCCCGAGCAACAGAGCGCATGCGCTCCATTCCAGAATCGATTTTCACCCCCACCATCTCACGAAGAACGCCATCCAGTCGTGTTTGCCGATCCTCCAGCAATCGCTTTTGTCGTGTCACGGCGGATTCCAGCTCCTCCACGCGTTTGACAAGATCGGAGGAGGTGGAGGCAGCGGCCGCAGTGGTTGACGTGGCGGGAGTGTGGACATCAACACCCGCCTGTGTACGCCCAGTCGGTGCAAATGTGGAGGTGGATGACAGTCTTTTCTCCAGCAGTCGGACAGTTTCTGTGAGGTACTCATTTTCCCTCTTGAGCTGCTGAAACATGGCCCGCATCTCCCCCATCTCAATGGAGAGGTGCCGCTGCACATCGCGGATTCCGTCCGAGCGGACGGCTTGCTCGGTCTCAAGCTCCGTTAGACAGTTCTTCACCTGGGACTGCAGGCAGTTTACCTTGTCCTCCAGCTCAGCCTGTGATGAGACAAAACGCGGTGGGACGTCTAGCGACGACACGTGAGGGGTGTCGAAGGCTGATGATAAAAACTTCCGTGCATTTTCGTGATTCGCCTGACGCTCATTAAGACGGTGCAGCGCTTCCTCCGAGGAGCGGATTTTCTCTTTGAGGGTCGCCCTCCAGTCACCACCCGCATAGTTCATTCGCCACGTTCCGTTGAAATGCACCTTGCAAGAAGGGAGAGGTGGGATGGGGGTTAGGGGGTGAAGTGGATGCAAGGAAGAAATGCATGTATGCATACACGCATAAAAAAGGAGAGAAAAAAAAAAAAGAAAATAAATAAATAAAAACAAGAATAAATGAACAACGAAAAACACATCTTGACGTTTATGTACAAAACGGGTAATTCATACGTCACAGTCCGTCTCCTCTTGGCTTTTTTTTTTTTTTTTTTTCTTCCTTTCGGCGTACACTCTCAACTGCATGCATACGAACATCACACAAAAGTGTGGAGCGCAAAACACACACACACAAAAAAAAAAAACAAAAAAAAAAAAGAAGGCAGGAAGGGGTTGCAACACCCTCCAAAGAGAAACCAAGTAAAATAAATAAATAAATAAAAGCAAAAAAAAAAAGGAGAAAAAAAGACATAATTAGTAAAATAAAGGTGCTTACAGTGACCTTTACCACCCTGTGAAACTTCCTTTTCTTCTTCTTCCTCTTCTTCAGTTGGACGACTGAGATGATGCGGCTGGTAGTGAAAACAACAACAACAACAACAACAAAACCGGCACTGCGGGAAATGACACGAGCAGCCTTCACATGGAGAAGATATCGTCTTCCATGAATTCCGATCCCACTGCGCACCGTGCCGCTCCGGCCGTGCCTCGCAGCGTAACATGCGGCCGCTGGGAGTTACAGACATATGCTGCCCCTCCTCTCTTCAAAATCATTCCCTCCTCTTTTTTTCCTTCTTCTCTTTTGCATGGCGTCACAGACGGAGAGTCCGCGCCAAGCACAAGTCCATCCGTGGAAGAAGGAGCAGAAGCAGCAGCGGAAGAAGCAGACCGGCGCAGGCAGGATTGATTGTGAATGGGCGTGCCTCCCAAAGCTGGATGTTCCCCGACTCTTTTTGCCCTTTGCAGAATTGTCGTCGCGTCGCGAATCGCTGTTGCCACGGCTCTTATCTCAGTAGTGAGCCCCTGGAGAGCCGTCACCTGCGCCTGATGACTTTCGACCAGAGCAGAGAGGTAGGAGAGGCTTTGACAATTGGCAGCCAGATGTTTTTCCTGATGCTGCAGGAACTGTACCAGTGAAGAAAGTGCCGATGCGGTTTCCTTATGATGTTGTGATGACTGAGAGAGTGTGGCCTGAAGCAAAGCAGCATCACCCACCTGCGCCTGTGTGGGCGGTGCCGTCGTCGTTATTGGCGCCACGGGCGTTGTCATCTGTGAGCTCCGTGACGGCTCTGACGCGGGTGGAACCGCCAGACACGACCGCCGCATCGTCGCCGGAAGCGGGTAGACGTTTCCAGCAGCCACGGAATGACATGAGGGTGCGCCGCAGCGCACTTGTGTGGTACGCTGCGTATAACCTTCAGCCTGTGTCCCCATTGGTGTATTGACAAATGAATCACACGGAGTGTTTGCGGCGTGTCTCTCCGCTGCGGCACCCCCGCGACGCAACTGCGCCACTCGATGATGTGCACCGTACATGTGACGTTGTTTTCCCCCTCTTCCGGCTTGTGCTTTTTCCTGCTGCTTTGCTGGTCCAGTCCCGCCACAGGAGAAATTTGTCAATACAAAAGAAAGCGAAAGACAAGAACAACAACAAAAGGAGACATTTCCCCCCCCAAAAAAAACATCAGCCCTCATGAAACCACGACACACATACAAGCCGACAGAAAAGCACCACATGGAATGATAAAAACATAGGTGTAAGAGCAAGAAAAAAAAAAAAAGGATAAAAAATGAAAGGAGAATATTCACCTGGACTGCTGATCGAATCCTGCAGTTTATAAATAGTAGAAAACTAACCAAATAGGAATAAGAAAAGGAATAAATGGAATAAGACTGGGGATTCACCATATCCTCAAAGTGTAACAGCAGGTAAGTGTATATATGTATATTTATATATTCTAGTGGCCTACTCACTGTATTCGGGTGGGATGTGTAGGTGTATATATATATACCTGAATTAAGTTCGTTAACTCTCCTCTGCGATCATTCTCTTCACAAGCTCCTACAAAGATACCCACAGAAGGTGTAATCCGTTCTTACATTGGACGGAATGTGAGTGTCTCACGCCCCGTAAACCATGACCACAACTGCTGTGTCACATACTTGATGCGTCGACAGCGTGGAAGCGACGGTGGACCAGAAATGTGCGGCGACACCAGAGGTGGCTCCCCATCCAAACGGTTGGGTCGACCCGGGAAGACGATCCACCCACGGCACTCTACATCGGGGTCACGGATATAATACCGACCATCAACACATTCCAGCGGAAACTCAGCTGAAAACGTGTCCTCGCCCCAATCATGAAAAAAGCGGTTCTGATCGGCTACATATACATTCGTCGGTGTAACGTGCGTGATGAGGCCCACGTGACCCACAATGTTTTTCCTCGAACCCGGGTAAACAATCAGGCTGTCGGCCACCGGGGGCTCCTCTGAGCCCTGCGGAATGAATTGACACGGCACCGCAGTGCCCGTGCATACGTCCTGCACCTCCCGTAGATGGATCAATTGGGCGGCAAAATCATACTGCGGCAACGCCAAACCCTTGCGGTAAAACAACCAACGTCTAACAAATTCCACACACTGCCACTTATAACCCATAAAGTAATGCTGCACATAATGTCGCTCGTTTGTAAAGATGCTATCGGAACCGTTGCTGTAGGCGGGGATCCGGCCAGGCGCAAAGCCACAAATGCCATGAAGGGGCACGCACTGCCGATTCTGTCGTGTTATTTTTTCGGTTATCATTGCAATATTGGAAAGGAATCGGGTTGCAGAAAGAAGTGTTTTGTGTGTGTGTGTGTCTGTGGAGATAAAGGGAAACAACAGCAGCCCCCAGGACGTCCTCCAAAGAATTGCGACGACTCAAACTCCACAACGGCGCTACAAAAATATTCATTTGCCACAACGACAAAAAGAAGGAAAAAAAAAAAAACAAGGGGTCAAATTACATGCGCATTCATAAAAAGTCATTTCCCCCCCGCGATGGTGCAGTCGACCACCTCAACACGGCGCAAACGCTCAAAGTACTCTTCGCAGTAGAGAGAGAGAGAAAAAAAAAGGTAAAAAAAAAATCATTCCATTTCTTCCATTCCCGCATCGGCTGCCACTATTCTCCTCAAATCTTTTTTTTTTTTTTTTTTTTTCTGTTTAATTTGTCCATCGCCAGCAATAAAAGAAGGACAATAACAATAATAAAGGGAATGCGCTCCCAAAATTTGCCCACGCACACTCAGAAAAGAAAAGAAAATAAAAAAAGAAAAAAAAAAGAAAAGAAAAGAGGCGGGGAGTCAAAGATCGCGATAAAATTCACATAAACTACCGCCACTCGTGCAAAAGGCAGATGCCGCCCATCTTTTTTTTATTCTTCTCTCTTTGTTTAAATATGCACATATAAATATAAATATAAATATATTTGTA